AGACTCTCTGCCGCTTCTATATAGTTAGCAATACCGGTGCGTCTCAAAAGTGGCTCGCCCCTATAACTTTTTTATTTTTTGAGATATAAACACGAGATTTGGTATGTTAGTATATGACATAAATTAGAATTGAATGACGTATTCAATTGTTTTTGGTCACTTCTTGCTTCACCGGGAATGGCTACAACTTTTGATTTTTAAATGGCACCTTCGGTATTTTTTTACTTTATTCGATAGAAAATGACATTCTGAATAGAATGACATATCATATGTCAACATTTGACATTCTCGCTTAATAAAAAATCGTATTTTAAAATTCAATCTAGAGTGCCCGGGCTATGTCAAAAACATTAATTCTTAATCAAGGAGCCCTGGAAAAATAGATTTGATAGTCTAAAGTTTTTAGTGTCTTGTCCTGGCCAGTTAGAAAATGCTCAAATCGTATTTTTAATCATATCTCAGTTTTTTCAAATGGAACGAGGGTGGCTCATTAGCATATTTGGAAAAAGCATTTTTTACGAATAATTTGATACCACATACTTGGTATTTCGAGTCAAATTTTCGTTACGAACCGCAAGTTATAATTTAAAATAAACCACATGCGAAAATGTCAAAAGTTGTCATGTCATGTCATTCTATTGAGAGTGTTATTTTCTATCGAATAAAGTAAAAAAAAATACCGAAGGTGCCATTTAGAAATCAAAAGTTGTAGTCATTTCCGGCGAAACAGGAAGTGACCGAAAACAATTCAATACGTCAATCAATCCTAATTTATGTCATATACTAATATACCAAATCTCGTTTTTTTAACTGAAAAAATAAAAAAGTTATCGGGGTGAGCCACTTTTGAGATGCACCCCGTATATTTTATATGTCGACTTGACGAGTACGTCACGGCAAATCGCTCCGCCCACTCATTTTATTGGCTACTTGCAAATTTGTCGAATTTTTATTGATGGGACGCGTCGTCTATTTTTTTACGAAAAACATCGAGAGAATATTGTTTCCCTCTCACGGATACCCCGTAGCTCCAGAACGGACAGACGTACTGTAGAAGATGTACTTTAATATACAAGCATACCAAGTCTCGTTTTTATATTTGAAAAAATAAAGAAATTACACCAATTTTGAAAAAGACCCGATATATAGATGGTAGAGAACGAAAAAACTGTTAAAGATAATGTGTCAACAGAAAACTATGAAGAGAATAAAGCACCATGGTTGTGTGCCAAAAGGATATCTGTATAGATACGAGAAATACAAGAAAACCGCCTACCGAAATCTCTTCTTTACGGTGAACTTGTAGAGGGTAAGAGGAAACCGGGTGGACAACTCAAAAGATACAAGGATGTTGTTTATGAAAACTTAAAGGGGATAAGTATGCAGAATCAGTGGGAGGAAGCAGCGCACAATAGAACGCAATGGAGGAGAATTGGAAATTCAGTTAATAACGAAAACCAAAAATTAAAGAGGCAACAAAGTAATGAGATTTTTGAATGTCCAGAGTGCGAAAGAGAGATAACATCACGTATCGGGCTTTTCAGTCACAGAAAAGCTCATGACAGGAAACGCCTTGCGTAACCATCTTTTGATGCGTGTCAAATACTCGTCAGCGAGTAATGGCAGTAGTAGTTAGTAGTAGTAGTATCTGTAGAGTGTTTTTTAATTTTATCATTTCATTTCAATGTCTGACGATAACCTCTGTTATACACTATTGCTGATTGTTCACAATTTTATACCCAGTCTCCTATCCCTTTGTCGCGCACTAGCTTGTGCAGATCCTTGGTAATAATATGGGGTATAGTTCCTCCTATTCTAGCCTTGCTTTCCGAAATAGAAAGTGTCCAGTTGCGATCCAGTGCCTTACGGTGACGTGTTATGTACTTGCTATTTCAGGTTTGTTATCGCAGGGTCTGAATTGATATGAATGATAAAAAAAGCAGATAATCCACTAGATAAACAGAGAGAGGCAAGTGTAGAGCAAAGTCTTCATCCAAGGACCTAATTCTAAAACTACAGAGGAAATGCTAATGCTTATTAAAACAAGTATCTTCAGATGGCTTATGGCTGTCAAGGGCTACCAGAACGAGCTCAACCTGTATCAAGGTGTCTTTGCTTCAGAGTCAACGATGAAGATCCTGAGATAGCGGAGCACATAATATGTCACTGCGAGGTTCTGGATCCAAAACGACACCATTTATTTGGGAGAGGAAAGCTAAAACCGAAGGAACTATGCTCCCATCCTATCAAGAACTTACACAAGTTGGTGCAGGGTACAAGAATATCAGACTGGGTGCAGATATAGAAAGGAGACAAACACAATAGGCCTTAGGACTTACGACAGAGGAAAATCAAAGATTTTCCTTCATTTAAATAAGAATAATATTCGAATTGACACGGGGTTTTTAACAGAACACTGTCTCCTCAATAAACATCTCAGTAGATTGAAGCTAAAAAACAACAACGACTGCAGATTGGGGAACACCTCAACACTAAGTGCGCCGAGACGACAATCACTCGTGCCATGAACTTTGGTACGACTGATTTCGGGGACGAAAAAGTAGGAATCTCAGATACTGGTCTTGTCAAAGCCCTAAGACTGTATTATGAGTTATAATTCAAGAAAAGGGGACAAATAGCATAAATTTTGATAGGTCGCGGTGATTCCCCCCTCCTATACAATCTACAATAAGCCTTACAGGTCGCAGTGCTTCCAGGATAGGACAGCTTCTTAATATTGAAAAAAAAACTAATCAAAGAATTATGTAAAGTATAAAAATTAGAAAAAAAATATTTATTACACCACTTTAGTTCCTCTTTTGTATACGCACCTGAACAAAGTGGTGTGGAGATTGGCGTCAGTGTGGTAATTTTAAAACGATCTTGCAAACGACGGGAGAGATATTAATATTGTTGAGATTTCGCCGCGCCGACGGAATAGATTATCATAACGTATAAGGCGACAAAAATTTGCAAACGCTAGGATTACCAGGGCTGTCAAGAGTGACGGCGTAAAAGCTGCTGATGGATCCCGGTGGGGTAGAATTTCAAATTAAATTAATTTGGGCTTAGAAGAAGACAGATAGAGCGGCGAATATCGAAAAATTAAACTAAACAATTATTAGAAAAGACGTCGAGTTTTAGTTTGATTTTTGAAATAAATTTGAAGTGAAATTCAGAAATTATGAAAATATGATATTGATATTAGACATCTACACACATGGCCAAAATTATTGCATATAACGATATTTTTATTTTATTTTGGACCTAATATGATTCTTTTTATATTTTTGGACCTATTGGCTTACTACACGACTAACTAATATAAAATTAAAAATCTAAGTGCAGCTAGGCTGTTATTATAATTTTATTTCATAATGAGTGAAAATCAATAAAAATAAATTTCATTTTTAACAGAAAATATTGAAAACAATTTTAATTATTTCTCACAACTAATAGTCTGTATTGCCTCCTCGAGCCTCAATGCAAGCTGTGAATGGCATGCTCTCAATTAAGTTGTCCAGAAGATGTTGAGGAATGGCTTCCCATGTTTCGCGCGCAGCAATTTTCAATTCATTTAAAGTATGGGGGTATCATTCCGTTTTGGCAATATGGCGTTTTAGCATGTCCCAAGCATGCTCGATGACATTCATATATGGAGACATCGGTGGCCACCACAGTTTTTTTACACCCTCTTCCTCACAAAATTCGCGAACCGCTAAAGTGCGATGGGGAGGTCCATGTAAACAAATTCATCCCCCACTGCCCGTCGAAATGGACGCACAATAGACTCTAAACGTCTCTAAAAAATATGAGGCACCTGTCATTGTGCCATAAATTAAAACAAGAAGGGTTCGAGCTCCGTGCATTATACCTGCCCATACCATAATGCTTCTCCCTTAAAACGGGACACGGGGTTGAGCTGCATTCAAGCGTGCTTGTCTTCCTGATGCTCTACAGACCAAAATTCGTCGCGAGTCTGACACTAGGCCTATTCTTGTTTCATCACTAAACATGACGAAATTCCAATTAGCTTTTTAATTAAATTTTAATTTTATTAATGCCTTAGCAATTGCGCGGTAACCCATATTATGCTAGATAAGATACTTTATTATTTAAGTGGAGTGTTTAGATTTACTCGGTAATCGAAATAGTAGATATATTACTCTTTTATAAATATTATCATCATCATCATCATCAGCAGCAGCATCAGCATCAGCATCACCATCATTCTCAGCTTATTCAACAATTTCCAATTATGATGTAGCCTCCGTAACATATTTAAATACTCTCTTTGTAGTTAGGCCCATTTTTGTCTATTGCTGGCTAGGCGGGCGCAACTTATCCTTGCGAGTCGTATGAGTCCGGCTTTACAAATTTGTCAGAATTTAACAAATATAATACATTTTAAAAGCATAGGGTTAAACGCATAGTGGTAGATGGCACATGTGTTTTTGAAACATCCTGTATAAATTTTGTGGAAAATGCAACCTGTAGACTAGGTTGCATTTTGCACTAAATTAGTAATTTTTCCACTAGTAAATATTTTTAAGTGTTTCTTTACAGTTTGTTGCTGGTTTGACAGTTGCAATTTATTACAAACCACAAACCAGTCTAAGTCATTTTAGCTAGCCTTTTGCTCACGAATTTCCCTGATGTAAGGAAAGTAACCATATATGGAATACCGCCATTTGTCGCAAACGAATACGCCTAATCGTAAAAGACAGCGATTTTTAATCTATTTCCGTCATCATACTCAAGTGCAGAATTTGCCTTGTCATTCAAACGGGCTTTGTGGCCAAGGTGAGAGGTTTTCTTTCAGCGCTATGAGATAAGTTTTTTAAGATATTCAGAAAGTAATAAGTTTTTAAGGTATTCTGAAAATATTTCTTCAAATATGGTGATTGCAAATAATATTGTATATTGTGACGATTCATTGATTACATGTTTCATTGTTTTAAGAGTCTTTTTATAAGATATTTTAACAAATCTAAGCCTACCTGTGATCTGCTCAACATGTGCTTCCTCGCTGCCGCGTGACCGTCGATCTGCGTTATAGATTGCGTCACAGTGGTGACCGATGACGTTGTGGCGCTGGTTCCTTGGGCATCAACCGCCGCCACTGGCGTCGAGGGGGGTGGATGGAGGGGTCGGGTACAGTCGGGCTCCGATTTGGAGTCTTTGAGGGGTGCTTCGCCTGTGGAAACGACCGCCTGGCGCATTTCCAGCGAGTCGAGGTGGTTGAGGCTCCTGGAACGCACCTGGAAGCAAAGAGGAAATACCTATTATAATAATAATAATAAATTTATTTATTCACAAATATAAACATACTTAATAACAATTCAAATATTAAATGTGAATATTGATCACTGAATCAATATAGAGGTCTGTATAACTATGTATATCCCAACGTTATCCAAGTCTTTCGTAACCCAAGCTCTTTATCAATGGCCTAGCATTGCCTAGTACAAAGAACCGCATATTTGCCAGATTGCTGCACCGACATAAAATGTGTTCTGTTGTTTCTTGACAGTTTAGATTGACAAAACGTGCACATAGCTTCGTCTGTCAATCCTATCAGCTTTAGATGCCTATTAAGCTTTCAATGCCCTATCAGTAGACCCCTACGGCTTTGACTATCTTTCTGTCTTTGCTTTTCAGTGTCGTAATTTTTGGCGAACTATGAACTTTTGCGCCGCAAATAATGCTAACATTATTCTTAACAATCCAAAATATACATGTATAGGTTCTGGCATTACATTTTATAGCTTAAAACCGATATAGGCATTAGTATAATACAACAATCTGCATCAAAATACATTTATATTTTGTAATATACCGGATGCGTCTCAAAAGTTGCTCACCACTATAACTTTTTTATTTTTTTCAGGAAAAAAATTGTTTTCGGCCATTTCCTGTTTCACAGGAAATTACTACAACTTTTGATTTTTAAATGGAATTCTCGGTATTCTTTGGCTTTATTCGATAGAAAATGACACTCTGAATAGAATTACATATCATATGTCAACTTTTGACATTTTCGAATATGATTTATTCAATTAAAAAAATAGCATTTTAAATTTTAATTTACAGTGTCATGGTCATAAATGTAACGACAATTTGACTCGAAATATCAAATGTGTGGTACCAAATTATTCGTATTTTTTTTTAAATTACATTATAAAATAAAATAAAAATTAAAAGTAAAAAAAATATTTTACATACAAAAAATTTACATTTTTTCCAAATATGCTAAAGATATTACCACCCTCGTAATATGTAGAGACTCGCTTCATAAATGGAAAAAGATCGCTGGTCCATTGTGCAGCTGCGGCAGGGGGAACCAGACCATCCGCCACATAGTGCAGGATTGCGAGATGACGGCTTATCGCACTGGCACAGTAAATGACTTCATTGATCTTCCTCAGACAGCAGTCGACTGGATTGATTCTATGAGTGTAAATATGATATTCATACTTTTTTACACTCTGTTCGTCCTTATATTGTTGTATTTGTACTTTTCTGATGTTTTGTTTTATATTTTTAACATTGTATTGTTTTTATTCCATGTGTACGAGCCATACGATAAATAAATAAATAAATACCACCCTCGTTCCATTTAAAAAAAATTAGATATGATTAAAAATACGATTTGGGCATCTTATAAGACGAAAAACATTAGACGGTCAAATCAATTTTTCCAAGGTTTATTTTAAATTATAACTTACGGTTCGTAACCAAAATTTGACTCTAAATACCAAGTATGTGGTATCAAATTAGTCGTAAAAAATGCTTTTTCCAAATATGCTAACGAGTCACCCTCGTTCCATTTGAAAAAACTGAGATATGATTAAAAATACGATTTGGGCATCTTACAAGACACGAAAAACATTAGAGGGTCAAATCAATTTTTCCAAGGCTCCTTGATAAGTATTTTTAACACAGTCGTGACATTCTAGATTGAAATTTAAAATACAACATCGTTTTGAGCGAAAATGTCAAAAGTTGACATATGATATGTCATTCTATTAAGACTGTCATTTTCTATTGAATAAAGTAAAAAAAATACCGAGGGTGCCAAGGTTGTAGCCATTTCCTGTGGAACAGGAAGTGGTCAAAAACAATGAAATCCGTCAATCAACCTAATTTATGTCATATACTAAACATACCAAATCTCGTTTTTTATCTGAAAAAATAAAAAAGTTATAGGGGGTGAGCCAATTTTGAGACGCACCCGGTATATCCAATTGAGACATTATATATTATTTTCTAAACAGTAAATACAAAAACTACAACAGCAAAAAAAAAGTAATAGATGGCATGCCATCGCAAAATTCAAGGCCTTTTCCTACGAAATGACCGTCCTAGACAAGTTGAATTACCGACAATTTTAAAATAATTTTCTCTACCTTATTGCCGGGTTGAATTTTCTAATTTTCCAGCTCCTCGAAAATTCCCCGAGCAATTTCCGTCTTGGAAACGAACCTTTTATATTATTTTTTTTTCGCAAAAAATACTCTTCGTCTTGAGCTCTAACGGTGGGATGCTTAACTCAGTTATTTTTCTAATAAGTTTAAAAATGAATTACTGTTGTAATGCACAAACTAAAATAAGGTCAAGAAACTATGGGAGATCCTTCACATTTTATTATATAAAAATTATATACCGGGTGTCTTCAAATCGACTCTCACTTTTCCAATAATAAGAGGTCGTTCTGTGCCGGAAACACTGCAACCTGTGAGATTGCTGAGTTTTTTGGAAATAACGAATTTTTTTTCAAAATCAATTTTATTCTTTTCTGCCGTTACATTTTAGAATAAAATATAATAATTCTGATAGTATTTTTAGATTTTCAAATTAGCTGATAGTTTGTGAGACACAGAGGCCAACTTAATTTTTTTAAATACGGACCTGAATTTTTTATATAGCTTTTGAAAGAACTCGGTTGCCGAAGTACAATGATATACTTTTTCCACACTTTTTTCTCTTTTGTTTTGGGTACCTTAACAACAAAAAAACTATTTAATTATTATTTAAAATAATTTCAAGTCCCACTCTGGTTTTTTAAATTATTTAATCTTATTATATTGAACGCAACAATATTGATCAGCGCTAATTAACATTGAATAAGAAAAATCGAGCCAATTGAAAGATTTTAACTTTTTTTATTTTGAAAAATTGAAATCTTAGGGTACGATCTAATAATTTGCATAATATTAATCGTAGTTATTCTAATATAAATGTTGAGATGTATTGATTTCACTTTTATAAATGATGCAAACTCTTAAACAGCGTCTACGAGTACACTATGCGAGAAACAATTCGAAACATGTCAAGGTCGCGTTTCGTCGCCCAACTTTGACGCATTCCGATTTATTTCCAGTTGTCTTGGCCCACTTCGGTTTGCCTCGACCTACTTTCGATTCTCAAAAGCGCCTGAAAACTACTTGTGAGGGCGAGGGGGGATTTTTTGTTGCCTCGTTCAATTTTGTTTTGTTTTGAGCTATTTCCAAGACGTGGCGGTATCTGTATCCAAGGCAAAGGATTTTTTTCATAAATCTCAGTGAAATATGTAAACCTAGACGTTTCTAAAATAGCTGTTTACGATGATATTTCGTTAATTACATCTCGTTTTATATTATATTGATATATATTCCACAGAATTAATATTTGAACACGCGTTTATTATATGTATAGTAGATATTTAGGAACAAAACTTTTCACTTAAACTGCAGGAATATAATTACAATATTGTTATGATTTAATTTTATTATAATGAATTAGTATATAAAATTTTATATGATGTTTGTTTACGGCCTTAATTGATTAATATAAGGTTAGTATTGGGTTAATAATAAAAAACAAACAACCAATCACGGCGCGGCGGGTATGGATCAATTTTAGGAAAGGTGGGAAACTAAGTTTTATAACACAGGCTTATATTTATCGTACTGTTTCCCGAAATGTTTTGCGAAATGTTGCACGAAATATTTTACGAAATATTTCCAGAAATATTTCGTGAAACATCATGGGGATAGTGTAACGGCTGTTTTAGTGACATTAAAAATCACGTACGACGTTTCGCTATTTTTTTAAATTCCCTATAAACAAACTAGAGATACTTTTATGAATTTAAAGGTTACTAGATGTAATACATCACCAAAACAGACACAGAGAAAACTTTTGCTCTTAAGTTATTTAAAGGAAGGAATAAATCACTCGGAATGACGCTCCTTATGTCAGGTCCCTTCCAATATTGCCCTTTTCAGTTTCAACAGACGCAAGCAAAGCAAAATCCCGTTATTTAGAAAATATTCGCACCGTCATGCCATCCGAAGACCCTTGTTAAACCAACATTTTTCTCCCTACAATCGTTTTAAATTGTGAAAAAACTGAGGTAGATAGCAAAATATTTTTTTTATTTAATTCAATTTTTGATAGGAAAAAAAAACGTATGAAATGATGTTGATATTTCATTTTTCGTAACCACGTAATAAGCACGTAACCTAACCTATATTTTTTTAATCTATCTATTCTATAATTAAAATTAGAAAACCTTCAGATTCTTCTTCTTCTTCTTCCTTCTTCATACTAGGCGAATCGCCTGTTTGGTTTCGTCATCTCTGCCGGTCAGACTGACAAGTTAACGGACGTCCTAAGCTTCTGCGACCTAACGGTGATTTGTCGCGTGCAACTCTCACTATCCTTCTGTTGTCCATTCTGCTGATATGGTCGTTCCAATCTTCCTTTCTGCTGAATACCCACTCATTTACATTTTCCACCTTGCATGCTCTTCTTATGCTTTCATTTCTCTCCCTGTCCAGAAGCGTCTTTCCAGGTATTCTGCCTAGTACTCTGATTTCGGTTGTCTCTAGTAGTTGTTTAGTTTTAGCGGTATCAGGTCGAGTTTCTGCAGTGTATGTCATTATTGGTCGTACCGTTGCCTTGTAAATTCTCGCTTTAGTTTCCACCTCAATGTTTTTATTTCGCCATATTGTATCATTCAGGCATCCTGCTATTCTAATTGCCTTCGTTGTCCGTTCTCGCACCTCCGCTTCTACATCACCATATCCTGAGATTACTATGCCTAGATACTTAAACTTCATCTCCTGCTAGATAACATTGCCCTCGACTTCCAGTTTGCATCTTAGTGGTACTTTTGATGTCGTCATGCTTTTAGTTTTCTGGGTCAATATTATCATATTAAGTGATTTGGCAGTGCAATTAAATCGATGTAATAAGCGCTGTAGATCGTTCTCAT